TCCTGCTCCTGCTGATCAGCCCGAAGCTTCCTGTTCGCCATTTCCTCGGTCATCAGAACCTCCAGCTCCTTCAGGTTGCTCCGGACGTGCCTGCGAGCACCTTTCGTCATGAAAACCTCGTTGTCCGCGTTCTCCATGAAAACCTCCTCGTCACTCGATGCCGTCTCCGCGGACTCTGGGTCGCTGGTGTGATAGTGGGATGTGCTCAGCTCTGAGTCGCCTGCGTCCTGGCCGTCGTTGCTGTCAGAATCGTGCGAGTCCTCCTCCTCGACGGTCTCAGCGACGCTGCGCTCATCCTTCTCCTCGTGACTCGCAGTTCCGCTGAACATCTCGTCTGCGAGCTCGTCCTGCTCCTCGGACTGTCCGACGGGGAAGGCACTCGTGACCGGTGCCGGGAAATCCAGCAATGACACGCACGGATGCCCGGACGCAGCCGGGACCAACGGCTTGGTCACACCATTCGCCGTGAAAGTACCGTTCCTGAAGCTGATTGCTGCGTCCCACTCTGCCATCTCATCAGGGCCGATGAGACCTGGCACCTCGGCATCGACCTCGGAGATCACAACTTCGCCCTGCGTACCGTTGATGCCGACTGTGTAGCACCACGCACGCTCTGACAAGAGCGGCACGCCTGGGCCGAACTTGAAGTACTCGCGCTGATTGATGCTGTGGTACGGCACGCCCATGGCATCCAAAGTCTTCTGCAGCTCGACATGCCACGGACGTCCACCGACAGCCCGCTTGCAGCCCGTGTCAATCATAGCCAGCCCCGCGGGCAAGACAACAAGCATGACGGACTGCTCATCTACCACCTTGCGGGGGCACTCCTCTCGGGTGGTGACCATGTGGGCCGCAGATCCCCCTTTTGCTGCCCAAGGGTCTGCGCCCTTTGCTGCCCAGGGGTCCGCGCCCCCTTTGACGGCAACATCCTCCCCAGTCGGGGCGGCAGACGTTAGTCCTGGCACAGCTCCGTCTGGGGTGTTCTTGGAAGGTTCCCCTTCATCCTTCTTGGGCTTCTCCAGCGTGTAATGAATCACCGACTTCAGCGAACACTTCTTGCACTTCGCGAAGATCACGGTGCCGTTTGACTGCCACTTCAACTCGCCCACAGGATGAACACATTCAGCCTGCTGCTGCATGAGCTCTGGGTCGAACTTCGCCTTCGGGCCTGGAACCAGCCTCTCGCCGTCGAACTGCGAGTCGTACATGGCTCGATGCATCTGCTGCTTCTCCAGGTCACTCTGCGTGGCACCGACACTCATGACGTAGCTCCGTCCAGAGGCGGTGACTACACGCGGGACTCCAGATGCAGCTGAAGATGCCGTCGCAGCGGCAGGGGCACCTGAGCTCGCGGCTCCTGGAGGCGCTGGAAGGTGGACACGCCGTCGTATTGCCTCCATGTTCTTCCACACGCTTCCGACTCCCTGCTGCTCAGGAGATGTGGGCAGGGCACGCTCTGGCAGAGGTGCCTGCTCACGTCGCTTCTGTAGGCCGTCGTAGACCTCGCATGGGTTCAATCGGGCGTGCATCTCCATCTCCTGTTTCTCTATCAGCGCGAGGCGATCCAGCAACTCAGCTTTATCACGCTGCAAAACCTCTAGTCGCTTCTTTTCCTCGCTCTTTCTCACTTCCTCGGAGGCTCCTGCCATGACCCAGTCCTCTTCCTTAGGGACAGCGGCGGCCTCCCCAGTCGGAGCGGCAGACGTTAGTCCAGGCACAGCTCCGTCTGGGGATTCTTTGGTCTTCGATGCTCCCTTTGCCGACGCCTCCACCACGTATACGGGATGGGCCCTCGCAGGGCCGCTGGATAAGGAGAAATCTGGCTTCTCGCAGCGGCGCGTGTAGAGATTGAGGCGCACGATGCGATCGTTCTTAGTGATGAAGTGGATGGTTGCCGGCGGCGTCAGGTAATCCCTGAAGATATCCTGACGCGGATACCAGCTGCAGAAGATCTCGTCCATCTCCTCTGGCGTGAACGGCACCTCCTTATCCTCACGCCGCTGGTCGTTGTCGTCCTCGGTGGCCTCAGGATCCTCGCTGGCCTCGTCCTCGTTCTTCACCTCCTTGCTGCTTCTTGCCTTCTTTCTCTCTTTCTTCTCTTCTTTGCTGCTCCTCGCCTTCTTCTTCTTCTCTTTCTTTTCTTCCTTTTCTTCCTTCTCACCGCGGTCTTCTGGTGGACTCCGCTTCTCTTTCTTCACACCGCGGCCTCCTGGTGTACTCCGCGACCTTGAACGCGAGGAAGCCTCCGCCTCGGGCGGAGGAGGGGCGCGAGGCTCGCGAAGAACAGCTCCCCGATCACGCTGGCGGTCGCCCCGACGATCTCGATGATGATCTTCACGCTGCTTGGTGTCACGACTCCCGCCTTCACCGCGCCGATCGCCACGGGGCTTGGTATCACGATTGCCGCCCATCACGATCTTGAATATAGTTGCCGTGATCTCGTCGAGATCCACCTCAGCCGCCGTACAAGGCCTCGATGTGGTCAGCTGCAGGCGCACGAGCCGACCCTGGACGAAGTCGAGGCTCTCGAAGCGGCCTTGCTTGAAGAAGATAGGCTTCTTGTTCGTCACGCGCTCCACGATGTGATGGACCGTGGCAAGGTCAGGAAACTCCAACTCCACGCTGTGCCCCTTTGCGTGGGTGTTGGCCAGAATGCGATGGCAACGCACGACAGCATCCTCGCCCTCCTGATCCTCCCCGCGCCTGGCACGGGCGCGCGCGCGTTCATCACTGCTCTGTGCGGCCCCTGGGCCGTCATCGGCGTCCTGGCGTAGGCTCGGCGCAGGCATGCTGTTGGGCCTGGGGTGCATAATGATCCGCTCTGGCGCGTCCGCTCGACCCTCCACTGGACGCCTCTGGGCAGGCGCCGACTGGGGAGCACGGCGCCATGGAGCGCGGCCACGACGCTCCTCGGCACTGCCTGCCATGCCAACCCAGTGGACGATCGGCCCATGCACCTGCCTAGGCGCCGGCGGCTTCACAGAGGTCCGCTGGTTGGGCGACGCTGGCTGGCCATTCTTAGGCCCGATCTTGTTGTACGGCTCGCGCTCGCCACTCTTCACCTTGGGGCACTCCGGGTCGCCACGCCAGTGGCCAGGCTGATCGCAGTCAGCACACCGGCTGTTAGCCTTGCGCTGGTCTGTCGGCTTCCGACCAGCCTGGAAGGAGCCGCTAGCGTTGATCTTCTTGGGGTCCCGCTGCCGAGGAGCAACGAACCCGCGCTTCTGACGCTGTACCGCCGTCTTCTGCTTGGCCCTCCAGCCGGCCAAGAACGCTTCCTGAAGATCCTCCGGTGCCTCGTACTCCTCGTCGTCAGGCCCGTCGTTGTCCGACACCAGCTCCTCGTCGACCTCAGCGCCGTCCTCGAAGAGGGTGCCCTCGGCCCCTCCATGGTCTCCATCGTCCTGGTCGTCTGCTTCATCTTCGTCATGATGCGCCTCCTCGAGGTCGCCGTGGTGTTCATCGTAGTCTTCGCCGTTCTCTACCTCGTGTACGTGCTGGCCAGGGCGTCCTCGCAGCACGCATGGCCTACGAGCCATGGGAGGGTGCGGATAGCGACCGCCCGAACTCCCAGAGGAGCGCCCGTGCTCACGCTGCGCCGCAAACGGCGAGCGGCGAGGGAGCACTGAGCGCTTCTCGGTGTCGTGCACCTTCGAATAGGCTGCCTTCAGCACAACCTCCATCCGCTTCGAGTCGTAGATGCCGCCACAGTTGAAGAGCACCTGCGCTCGCTCCTTCTGCGACAGTCCAGCGCCACGAAGCATCTTGCTTGCCAATGCGCGATCGCTGATCGCTGATGTGGGATCCTCGAGCTGCAACTCCATGCGCTTCTTGCGCAGGTACGTGGTCCAATCCATGATCGGCTGCCCAGCTCGACGGTGTGCTCGCTCCCAATCCTGATGCACCTGATCGAGGCGCTCGTGATCCATCTTCTCGAAGGCGTCGTCGTAGATAGCAAAGATGGTCTCGAGCGTCTCCTCGCGTCGGAGGTCCGACGCGTCAAGCACCTCGATGAGCTCTTTGGCTCGACCTGTCACTTGACTGTAGATGATCAGGCCCAGCTCCACGTCTGAGAGCTGATTGAGGTTGCGGATGACTTCAACCTCCTTGCGCCACTCTCGGTACTTCTTAGTACTCGTACCGACTCCACCATCGAACTCTGGGAGCCTCACCTGCGACAGCAGTAGACGTGTACGTCTGGGACCGCCGTCGCCACGATCCCGATGCAAGGCCAAGAGCTCCCGCTGGGTCTCGGCCATCACGCGCAGGACTGCATGCAGGTCCGGGGGACCTGTGCCTGCGGAGGACGCAGCCTCCACGTCTGAGCCGTCGTGGCTGGTGGCCATGGCGGCCCACGCGGGTGGTCACAACCACCGAAGCAGAGCACGCAGTGCGTCCGCTGGAGCTTACTAGCTCCGCTACCAATGTCAGTGCAGTTGTTTTCAGCAAAGACCGCGCGGCAGTCCAACTGCGGGTGCGTCCCAGGGCCCTAGGACTAGGGCCAAAACAGCGGCGGGCAGCGTGCATGCCACAAAACAAGACAAGCGTGTACAACATACACACATGGTGGCACGGGCGGCAGAGGGGCAGGGGAGTGCACTCTTCACACCAGGGTGCCCAACAAAGGCCCCCGGATGCCCGGAGGCCGAAGACGGCCAAAAATATCCCGTCATGACTTCCTCATCGATCATTGCACCGACTTTGCAGACGTGCCGCGGCGGATTGTTGCGCGGATTTCTTCAGCGCAAACCCCGAAACGGCGAACGAAAAACGACGCGAACTTCACGTGGATGGCTTGTGATCTTCACTGCCTGCCAAGAAGAATCCGCCCGAAAGTCGCTCCGAAATCCGGAACGAGAATCTCCAAGCCAAGCCACTCCGGGCCCATCCCACTGCTTTCCGAGCGAAATCCGCTCTGCGGTGTTGGCGCCATGACGTCGGGCGCGAGGATGCGCAGGGACGACGACGGGACCACCGCGCCGGGACGAGGCCCCGCGCGCCTGCCAGCTGCCTCGAGCAGGCACGCCACACCGACGCTCTTGCCGAGTGCGGCGATGCGCGGGTGGCCTGGGCCGGCGGCGGCCCTCCGACAAGGGAGGGGGAGGAGGAGGAGGAGGAGGAGGAGGAGGAGGAGGAGGAGGAGGAGGAGGAGGAGGAGGAGGAGGAGGAGGAGGAGGGGGAGGAGGAGGAGGGGGGAGGGGGAGCAGGAATAGGGAAACGAACAATGACATAAGCATGATAACTCGGAGGTCTGCGCTGGTTTCTCGGGTCGGCGCTGGGGCCCCCCCCCTGGCGCGCTCCGCGCGCCAGGGAAGGGGGTCCAGCGCGGATCCAAGAAATCCGCGCGGCTCCGAGTTTTCCCCAACCATCCTGTGGTGTTGGGTCCTCGTTTTGAAGAGACGGTCCCCGCGTTCCTCCCTCCTTCCTTTCTCCTCCTTCCCCTCCTCCCTCCTCCCCCTCCTTCCTGCGTTTCACCCACCCAGTACAACGCTTCGTGGCCCCATGGGGAGCTCCACCGAAGCCCCCAGTGGGACCGCCCGCATGCGTCCCCCACACCCAGTTTGGCACACCCCTCATACGTTTCGTGGCCCCATAGGGAGCTCCACCGAAGCCCCCAATGGGACCGCCCGCATGCGTCCCCCACGCCCAATGTGGCACACCCCTCACACGTTTGGTGGCCCCATCGGGAGCTCCACCGAAGCCCCCAATGGGAACGCCCACATGCGTCCCCCACACCCAATTTGGCACACCCCTCACACGTTTCGTGGTCCCATAGGGAACTCCACCGAAGCCCCCAGTGGGATCTCCCGCAGAAGTCCCCCACAACAAAAACAAGTTGGCACACCCCTCACACGTTTCGTGGCCTCATAGGGAGCTCCACCGAAGCCCCCAGTGGGACCGACCCAATTTGGCACACCCCTCACGAGTTTCGTGACCTCATAGGGAGCTCCACCGAAGCCCCCAGTGGGACCGCCCGCATGCGTCCCCCCCAAAAAAACAATTTGGCACACCCCTCACACGTTTTGTGGCCCCATCGGGAGCTCCACCGAAGGCGCCAGTGGCTGCGTTCGCATGCGTCCCCGAAACCCAATTTGGCACACCCCTCACGCGGTTCGTGATCTCATAGGGAGCTCCACCGAAGCCCTGAGTGCCACCGCCCGCATGCGTCACCCACACGCATGTCGTCACACCCCTCACGCGCGCGTTTCGTGGCCCCATAGGGAGCTCCAACGAAGGCCCTGGTGCCACCGCCCGCATGCGTCACCAACGCCCACTCCGGCACACCCCTCACGCGTTTCGTGGCCCCATCGGGAGCTCCAACGAAGGCGCCAATGGCTGCGTTCGCATGCGCCCACCGCACCCATTTCGGCACACCCCTCACACGTTTCGCGGCCCCATAGGGAGCTCCACCGACGGCCCCAGTGGCTGCTTTCGCTTGCGCCCACCAGAAAAAAGTTGGCACACCCCTCACACCTTTCGTGGCCCTACAGGGAGCTCCTCCGAACGCGGTGCATACAACGACGGCATTCACACTGCATATGGTTGGGTCATTCGCCAGGCTAACTAATTTTCCGTTCCCCTGGGAAAGTGATGACGTGGACGGAGGGGAGAAACGGGACGAGGATGAGAAAGGGCACGCCGAGACGGAAAACACGGAGACGAGGACACAAGGAAGGGAGAGGAGCAGAAACTGGATCAGCAGATACAGGGCAGGAAGGGGAGGACTGGGCGGCGCACACAACTGGGTGGCGCGAGGAGGCGGGGGGACTCTAAGAACGCTGGGGGGTTCTCGCAGCCCCCCCCACAGCTTCTACGAGGCCCTCTCAGAAACGCACGAACCTCTCTACAACGGCCCCTGCCTTCGTAAAACCCCTGGTCTTCTTGTCGTCTTGCATGTCCAGCCCCCTCGCGCCACCGAGCTGCGCGCCGCCGAAGAGGACGAGGACAGAAGACGGGAGCGGGACGGCAAGGACGAAGGGGGCGATGAGACGAATGAGGGGAAGAACGAGGAGAAGAAGGAGAAGGTAGCGGTCCTCCTTTGTCCTCCACCTCATCTTCCTCGGTCGGATGCTCTCCAAATACCACGACAATTGAAGGAACGTTCCCGAATTGAGACTACTAGGAGGCAGATCAAACCACAGATTCAGATTAGACCTCGCCATCCCTGTGGGGCTGCGATCTGCGAAACGACCACCACTTTCGACGGCCACTGGGGGGTCCACTTGAGTGACGTCTCACCGCAGATTCAGACTAGACATCACCACCCCTGGCGATCTGCGAACTGCGAAACAGTAGTCACTTTCGAAGGCGGTTGAGGGGTCCAGCGGTGTGGCGCTTTACCGCAGATGCAGATTAGACCTCGCCATCCCTGGGGGGCTGCCAACTGCAAAACGGACGCCATGTTCGAGAGCTGCTGTGGGGAACGACGTCGTACCGCATATTCAGACTAGACCGCGCCATCCCTGTGGGGCTGCGAACCGCGAAACTGACGCCACTTCCGAGGGCTGCTGCGGGAGCCACTGGGATGACACCTCACCGCAAATTCTGAGTAGAGCTCGCCATCGCTGGGTAATTAGCTAAGAATTTGAACTTGTCGCCACTTTCGAGGGCTGCTGGGGGGCCCACCGGAGTGACGCCACGCCGCGGGTTCAGACTAGACCTCGCCATCGTTGGGGGGGCCGAGACCCGCGAAACTGTCCACTGTTCACCCCCTCTGCTGCCTCTCGTCTCCGTCCCCGTCCTCCTCGAGCCAGGGGCCTCACCCCTCGTCCTTCCACGGATGCCCTCGGAGCCGTGCAGCGCGCATCGCGTGCAATGCATGGCGGTTCCCACAGTGCTCGGGGGCGTCCAAGAGGGGGGGGGCGTCCAAGAGGAGGGGGGGCGCAGATCGTGGCCGGCGGCGTGTGCGCGGAAGCGGCCCAGGGGGGGGGGCCCTGGAACGCATCGAATTACGAAGAGGCGCCATGAGATCTGGGGAGAGATCGTGGCCCCCGCCACGCTGTCCACCCCCCCTAGTCTTAAGTTCGGCCTGTCCCTCTACAGGAGGAGCATTCCAAAACGGTAACAAAAAAAGTCTGGGGACTACTTCTTCACTATTTTTGAGCATGTTGGGAGTATTCATGAGCTTTTGTACTTTCTCGCCCGAAGTCCCCCTGTAAGGGACAGGCCCGACTTAACCCTGGGCATCGCCCCCCTCTCGTGGCCGCCCCCGACGTGACGGCTCCCGCAGTGTCGTCGGCCATGCCGGCCTGGACCCGCTGCTCCTGCCCCCGAGGGCAAAGGGCGGGCGCGGGAACTGCGAGGGGCCGCGGCCTCGGGCCCCGGCCCGGTGCTCCCCGACCCCCCAGGAGTGCTCCGGGCCTCTGGGGGGCGCTCCCGGAGAGGTCGCGTCGGGCGAAAGGAGGGGATAGCAAAGGGAGGGGGGGAGAATCACCTCGCGCAGCTGATTTTCCCGGCGCCTCCCGGCGCCGGAGGCGGCCATGTATCGAGGAATGGGCCCCTCGGTGAGGCCGAAACCAGCTGCATGCAGCAGATTTCGTAACCCCCCCTTTCCCAATCCCCCCCTTTCATCCGGCCCGAAGAGGTTCCTGGCCAGCAGCCTATAGACTCCCCGTGCGCGCGCCGGGCCCGCGGGAGAGTTCCCGGAGACGCCCAAGACAGGCCAAGCGGGCCCTGAAGATGGCCAAGAGACCCTCGAGAGGCCCCGAGGACGCCCAAGATGGCCCCAAGGGTCGGGCATGTCCTTCTACGGGCGGATCTTGGACGACAAAAAAGAAGTACTCAAAACATGTTCAAACAAATAGTTGCTTGGAAAATTTAAACAAAAAATCGTCGCCATACCGTTGTCTGACTATTATTGTATACTCCTCCTGTGAGAGGGAGATGCCGGACTGAATACTACGGTTTTCACTACAGATCGCGGCGACCTAGGGAACAACTGATTCCATTTGCGGAACTACTTTTTGGCCGGGCGCCCGGGAACCTCTGGGAGATCCAGAGATCGATGCGAGGTTTGCGGGCGCCTTGGAAACTCCTTCTGGACTCTCCCCCAAGCCAAATCGCTCGAGAGAGGGAGACATTGCTTCTCCGCTACGCACACGGGGAGGAATGCATACAGCGGAGGTCAGTCCACACGAAACCTTCCACAAGAAACCCAACCCTGAGGCCCCAGGGCGCCCCTGGATGTTGGGCGTGGGAACGTCACGCTCTCCATCGCAAAGCCATCGAAACCCAAGAAGCCCAGAGCACCCTGGACGCAAGCATCAAGTCGGGCGTGTCCCCCTACAGGGGGATTTTCGACGAAACATAAAAACTACCCAAAAAATATTCCAAAATGGTCAAAAAATATTCAAAAAATAGTCCCCTGACTATGTTTTGACTGTTTGGGGATATTCCCCCTGTAGAGGGATAGGCCCGACTGGAGGCAAGCAGGGTGTCTCTTGGCATGCGTCTCCGCTGCAGCCCGCCGTCCGCACCGCTTGCAGGCGGGGCGAGCTACCTCGCCCGATTTCACATATTTCCTATATTTCATGGGTTCCATATTTTCTGGGGAATCGACGATTCATTCTGTCTGTGATTCTTTCCCTCCTGATATGTAGTGAAGCTGGCACTCCGCCTCGCGTTCCAGCCATCAGCCCCTGGCTGCCTGACGACAGTCCGAAGAGGCGCCCGCACCCGAGAAAGAGAGTTCGGGAGAAAGAAGGAGGGGTGAGCAGATTTGTCTTGAAGACGGAGACTGGGACATCAAGAGAGGAACACTTGGGAAGATTACGAAACTAGGCAAAGGGCGAGACGTCGAGAAAAGCGGGAGGGCAAGACAGGGACAGTGTCGTAAAGTAGAAGCCGCCGAAGCCTGGAAGAACGCACAGGGAAATATCCATCTGCGGGCTCATGTGCTGCTGGATGAAGGCGTCCTCACTTCACTCTTGCCCAGATTCGCGCAGATGCACACGTGAACGCACATATCAACATGCATGCGCGCACATGTTGGCGCGCGCACTTACTTCTTGACCCTGTCGCAATGCCTATTTCGCGCCAGGTTCTGACCCCAGGTCTCCGACGATATGATGTTCTTAGATTCTCTATGTTTTGCCTCGGGGGGAGGCGTGTTTTCGGATCCTGACTTCTAGCTGGTCCCGGAGACAGCTCGGGGGGGTGCAGGACCTGTTTCAACCAGGACACCTTTCAATCATGCCACATGGACTGGCACCTCCAGCCGAGAAGCGCCTCGGGCATCAGAGAATAGAGCACGCTTCTCAGACGGACGACGATGTGTTTTTTCAGCACGCGGCCCCAGAGAGGTCTTGAGCCCTTCCCCTGGGGTGGTTTCTCCTCCCCGCGCCAGTTTTGATGGCCTGGGGCCCGAAATCGCCGGAAATCAAAAAACCCATGCCAAAATCCAATGTTAACCGAAACCGAGACCAACGAAAAACACCGGAATTGGAAAATCTCATCGTTGGAGATCTTGGGTTCCAGACCTCCGACGCCGTGATTTCTTCACAACGCAGCTCCCCATTGGACTAGGCGACTAGGCCCATTCCGAGGGGCCGGATTTCCATCCCGAGTAGATCATGACGGCCCCTGGGCCCTCAGTGGCTCCCTGAGGCCGAAAATTGCCAAGACCCTTCCATTGTGAGTTTTGTGGCCAGGAGGGGAGGTGTGGTTTTCGGGTCATACCTTCGGTGTCCAGCGGACGCTCGGGACGATCGGGGCACCCCTGGAGCGCCCTCGGCGAGGCGCACCTGCACGAGAGCATCCCGAGGCTGGGGAGCAGACGAAGACGTCCGAAGGTCTTTCCGTCGCGATGTTTTAGCCACGAGGGGAAATCCGTTTTTGTTGGGGGGGGGACGGGAGAACGCGATCAAAGAATCTCCACCCATCGCTGCGACCACCACGGCGCGAAACAGAAGCTCTCTGGGCAAACTGGCGACGCCACCCGAACCGACCTGCAAAAATCACACTCGCGTAGCGAACCGTAGCCTCAGGGAGAAAGCAGCCGTGCTGCGGACAGGGCAAGTTCACATCGCGATGACGTGGGCGTTGGCTTCTGACACCGTGTGGATCGCTCAACCTCGAACATCCTCGAACGATCGCGGCTTCACGGCAGCACTGATCGCGCGACATCCTGCGACTCTGGGCCGCTGGCGGCGTCAACGCGGCGCGAACATATACCATAGAAAGCTGCACACGGTTGGCCTTACAGCGAAGGGTAGGGGGGAAACGAGGGGCAAGAGGATGGTGGGAATGGTGAGGAGGACGAGGAGAGGGAGGAGGAGGAGGAGGAGGGGGAGGCGGAGGAGGAGGAGGAGGAGAGGAGGAGGAGGAGGAGGAGGAGGAGAAGGAGAAGGGGGAGGAGGAGGAAGGAGGAGGAGGAGGAGGAGGGGAGGAGAAGGAGGAGCAGGAGGAGGAGCAGGAGGAGGAGGAGGAGGAGCAGGAGCCTCCTCCTCCAAGTCTGGCCTTACAAGGGGGGGAAAGACGGCCGGCCCGTCGGAGGAGCAGCCAGGGCAGCGCGGGCGAGGGCGGCGGCAACGCGGGCAGGCCGCAGCAGCGGCGCCCAAAGTTTTGCTCGCGATGCGGCCAGGGGGTCGCTGCGACGTGAGGAAGTGAATAAAAGGGGGGGCGGGGGAGGAGGAGGAGAAGCAGGAGGAGGAGCAGGAGGAGGAGGAGGAGGAAGGAGGAGGAGGAGGAGGAGGAGGAGGAGGAGGAGGGAGAAGGAGGAGGAAAGGAGGAGGAGGAAGGGGGGAGGGGAGGAGGAGGAGGAGGAGGAGGAGGAGGAGGAGGAGGAGGAGGAGGAGGAGGAGGAGGAGGAGGAGGAGGAGGGGAGGAGGGGGGGGAGGAAGAGTGAAGAGGAGGAAAAGGAGGAGGAGGAGGAGGAGGAGGAGGAGGAGGAGGAGGAGGAGGGGGGAGGAGGGAGGAGGAGAAGAAGGAGCAAAAGGGGGGGGAAGTGGGGAGAAAAAGAAGCTGGGGAGGGGCGAGGCCAGCGGTCGCGCGTCGCACGGATACCTAGCAAAGATACTCATTCTCGGTGCGTCGGCCATGTGCAAGACAGCGCCTGTCTACACCACAATGCTCACGTGCACCGCAACGCCTGTGCACACCACAGCGCCTGTTTACACTACAGCACCCGCGTGCAACGCAGCGCTGGTGTACACCAGAGTGCCTGCGTGCACAGAACAGGTAGAAGGAACATGTCAGTGAGGATCTGCTGCGGACAGCAAAACGCCACGCCAGGGAAGTGCTGAAAATAGAATGCGACGTTTTTTCCTCCTCCCTCCTGCACCACGTACGGGCGGCGCGCACGCTCGGAAAACCTATAGCCCATAAATGATGTTCCGTGGCGGGCGCAAGGATACACCTCAAGATGTCGCGTCAGGGGGGTACGGCATAGAGGGAGATGTGCGCTGGGACGCATCAGAACATACTAGTACGATATGCCTCTGTTGAAAACACACATTTGACGTAAACTGATAGAACATAATCATGTGATAGATCGTTGCGCCTGCCACAAAACAGGTATTGTAGGATTTGCGAATGTGCGCGTCGCCCTTGCGTGGCCGACGCTGACAAAAATACTAGCATGTTTGGGTGGTGCCGACGCGACGCGCGACCGCCCACTTCTTCGCGTCGCAGCGACCTTGGCCGCGCATCGCGGGAAAAGCGTTTTCCGCCGATCGCGGGAAAAACGTTATCCGCCGATTGTCGTCCGATGTTGGCCAAATTTCGGGATGTTCTCTTGTAACTGCGCCTCGCCGACGGTGTCCCCGGGGTGCCCCGATCGTCCCGGACATCAACACCAGACCGGAATGACGACCCGACGAAGCTCCTCGGGGTGACGAAGCGGCGATCCAGGTTGTGAACCAATCACGTCGTGGGAGGTCTGGACCGCGTGACGACAAGTGGGCCCCAGCGTGGGAAGTTCGCATCGAATCGCTGAATCAAATCCAACTGGAGTTCGAATATGATCGGATTGCACTGGCACGGAATCGAAATCGAACCAGACTGGCGGAACCAAGATAAACAACTGACCCGCGCAAGCATCGGGCCACATCGGACCGCCCAACGCACAAAATCGAGTCGGATCGAGCTGGGCGAGATCTCTAACGAATCGCATCGATCGAATCAACACGGGACCGGTCTCGCCGGGGATGGCGCCCCACGAAACGCGAAAGAGATACTCGGACCAGCGCCCGGGGTTCGGGATCAATCGCAGCGCCATATGCCCCAGATGCCCAATGTGAAAGCCAATGCGGAGGGAACGCAATCACACGCACAGCACACAGACACTCTTGAAAACGTTCGCGCTTCGAATTGTGGAAATGCATAAGTGCACGCACGCCGAGAGAGAGGGGGCGCATGTCTATGCATGTATAGATACATCTATATATAAGCATATATATATATAACACTAGTACCACGCGCGCAACGCGGGCGCTTAGGCTCTAGTTATAGGGTCGCCACGGTTGCCTTCGCTACCGCCGCCACCCTCGCTACCGCTACCTCTGCCATGACCTCCCTGACTTCGACAACGATTACCAACGCTTCCATCGCCATGATCGGCGCGACGAACCTCGCGTGGTGGGTGAGATCAAACCTACCGCCGCTTCCAACGGCACGCGTACAGACACATGCAAAACCGCATGTACTGCTGGGGCGTCATCAGGACCAGTCCGCCGTGGCGCCTGCGTTGAGTGTCGGAAGCGTCTTGGATATTCGTTGAGGTTTCGTGGGTGGCATCCCTCCTTCTTTTCCTCCCTCCCCTCATCCTCCTCCTCCTCCTCATCCTCATCCTCCTCCTCCTCATCCTCCTCCTCCTCCTCCTCCTCTTCCTCCTCTTCCTTCTCTTCCTCCTTGTCATTGTCCTCCTCCTCTTCCTCATCCTCCTCGTCCTCCTCCTCCTCATCCATTCGTTTACCTCCTGCATAACTCCCCCCTGTCGCGCCCCGAGGCTGGTCGTGAGGCGGGCCGTGCGTTTCGCATGAGACGCCCTCATCATTCATGATAATGAATCCTAAAATTTGCAACAGCTTCACGCATGGTGGGCGGGCGTTTTCATAATGTGGCTCTCGCCAAGCTCCGCGCACATCCTTCAGAAAGGTTTGCAAAGATTTCCCGGATTGGAGGCAGGTCGTTCTCCAAATATGGCCGTCGTCTTGGGCACCGCGCACATCCGTCTCAAAAAATGGCGCTGGCATTTTTGAATGTGGCTATCGCCGTAGCGCCGCGCACATTCGTCTATGCAAATTGCACGAGCCTCACGGATGGAGGAAGACATCGTTTCATGTCGGACTGTCAGGACGCAACAGTCTCGTTGATTCGTGGCGTTGAATGAATCCGCAGAAGGTGCGTTCTGGCGCGATTCAGAATCGTCGACACGCACCAGCGACGATGATTCGTGGAGTTGAAGCCCCAGGAATGGTGTCCTGGCACAGCTCAGGAGTTTCATCCGCTTGTTATCCGACGAAGTACTTCCCTCAGTGAAAACTAATACTGCAAGGGCATTTGAATATGGTGTTGGAGGCGAGGTTGATTGCGACATCGATGATCATTCTTGGGTTTGCACTGGTCCTCTACTTCTCCCCCCTTTCCGCCTCCTCCTCCTCCTCTGCCATCCTCCTTCCTCCTCTCCCTCCTCTTCCTGCTCCGTTCGTCGCCTTTGAGGCTCACGCCTGGAGCCTGGCGCCCATAGTTTTGGCCCAAGCCGGCGCAAGCGGATGGCACAGGCGACCAGCTGGGCAGGTGCGGCACCGCCCGCAGTCAGCCGACGGCTGCATGGAACATGGCACTATGAGGACGGCTGTGGGAAAGCCTCTTCGCGGGGCATCTGGGACGCGCGCCTCGACCGACAAGCCCCATGCCAAGCTGAAGCTCCCGCACAGCTCGATGGGTCCGCTTGCAAGCACCAGAAGTTGCTCGGCC